CGCGTTCCAGGTGGAGACTCTCACCGTGCAGCTGCAGGGAGAGAGGACTTTGGCCCAAAAGGCTGAGGCGGCTCGGGAGCATTTGGAGAGACAGAACAAGGATCTGAAGACCCGACTGGGGGAGATGGAGGGAGCAGTGAGGGGCAAGCACAAGCTCAGCGTCGCAGCCCTGGAGGCCAAGATAGATTCGATGGACGAGCAGCTGGAACAGGAGAGAGCGTAAGAGAAACAGATAATTACATTCAAAGATAGGCCCTTTTTTATCTTTATATTTCTTTTATTTTTAGGAGAGACTTGAAAAGAGAATATAAATTAAAATCAAATTAAAATAACAATGAGTGGTAATACACCAGGGTCAATGCAAATTTTATACATAAAAGTTCACTCTATATTAAATGTTACTTTCTTAATTTTCAAAATAAATTATTTAACTTATTGAAAATTATTGAACTACAGTGGCCGAAACAAAAACATGAATTGCTCTGTATAGAGCCAGTGTTTGGTTTGTCCCTTCTGGGCTACTGTAGAAACGTGGCTGCATGCAACATGTACAATGTACAATGGTTTTAAATATTTAAAACGGTCCCAGTGGTAAATATGCAATTCAGATTTTCAGTTTATTAAACTCTCTAAAACACAATTAGATGGTAATGTTTTATAGATGTCTTGAATTTCTTGGTGCAACAGGTATCTTAAAATGAACATTTCCATCTCTCAGGGAACGAGCCATTGCCAACAAACTGATGCGGAAGACGGAGAAGAAACTGAAGGAGGTGATGATGCAGGCAGAAGACGAGAGAAGACACGCAGACCAGTACAGAGAACAGGTAAGAAAATTGACATCATCCACAAGAGGATAGACAGAGACGCACCATTAAATATGAATCTAATGGGGGTCAGGTCAGCTAGGAACGCTGCTCTAATTGTGACCCAGGGCACAAAGAGAGTGTTAAAAAATCATCCCAAAATGAGTGATTTATCCGGCTCAGTCCAACCTAATCCTAATCCCACCCCGGCATCTGTGTGTTCATTGGGAAGCTAGAGCGTATTCCACTCCGAAGAATAAATCCATCAGTCACAGCAGAGACACACACACTCCCCTACCAAAACATCATCGGTGATAATCTGCCAGGTTTAATCTGACTCCTGATCCCTATCAGTCCTCCTGTCCCCAGACTAATCTCTCTTTTTATATATCTGTCCCCTTCTCTTCTTGTTCCCCTTCTTTCCTCCGATCCCGTGTCTCACCCTGACCTCTGCAATATGCTCCGTCCCTTTCCTCCTCTTCCCCAACCACCTTGCCTCTTCCTCCCCCTTCCTCCTCCTAGCTGGATAAATCCATGGTCCGCCTGAAGCAGCTGAAGCGGCAGCTGGAGGAGGTGGAGGAGGACAACTCTCGCTCCAACGCCCAGAAGAGGAAGCTGCAGAGAGAACTGGAGGAGCTCACCGACAGCAGTCAGATCATGGCACGAGAGATCGCCACTCTCCGCAGCCAGCTCAGGTAACCCTGTGTGTGTGTGTGGGTGTGTGCACGTATTTTCTGTGTTTGAATTATAATTTATTGTTGTTTTGTTTGTTTTTAACCCCTCCATTAACTCAATATGATTTGTTTTGTTGTGCTCTTTTGTTGCATCTGTTTGTGTCCATCTAACACAAACAAACTGTCCATCTGTGTCCGTCACTCCAACACTCAGCATCCCTGAATGGAAGCCAGATCAGTAGGTCAATGTGTGTGTCATATTTTTATCATTTGCGTGTGTGTGTGTGTGTGTGTGTGTGTGTGTGTGTGGAGAAGGGTGGAGACTTAATGCACATTCACATTTAGTGCTTGTGTTTTTTATTACTTAATTGATTTGGATCGACAACCATCAAATAGTAATTGATTAACCATTCAACTAATTTGTCAAGCAAACATTTTCTGTTTCCAGCTTTTGAAATGTGAACATTTTCTGCATTCTTTGTGTTTTATGTTTGTGAATTGAGATTCTTTTGGTCACACAAAACAAGCCATCTGGAAACATCACTTTGAACTTGTTATCAGCAACTATTTTATTTCACTTTTTAGACCGAGCAATTTGTTAATTAGTTGAGAAAAAGAATCGATAGGGGATATAATTGTGAGAAGCAGCCTTAGTTTTAAGTAAGTAAATGGCAGATCTAGTGTATTGGGCTCAATACAAGACAATATTCTATCGTAATATATTTCTCTCTTGTATAGTTAGTCAGCCCTAAAAGTGTTACGGCAGCCGAGTTTAACCTACAGGTGTTTCTGATGTCCCCTGAAGATAGTTAACAATAAAAAGTAAAGTCAAAACAGCTCCCAACTCCAGAAGCAGACCAGTTAACAGGCAGAGAAAATCATTTTTACCGTGTGCAAATATGTGCCTGATAGATGAGCCGCACACATGTTGAATTTTCATTCTGCGTCTACATGTCACTTTCTCAAGAGAAAAGACTTCATGCATGGGGACTTTCTTAGACTAACAGGATCTCAGGGACAAACAGGAGTAGCTTAAAAATAGTCTTCATTGCTTTGTATCTTCCAAAGATCATTTTCCAAAATCAGGTGTGTGTGGACTCTTTGATATTTGGACCAATACATTCGTTTTTCGGAGAAGCGCTCTCGGCTGGTTCCTCCACCGGACAAACTGTAACTCCGCCTCTCTTCTTGTCCAGGCGTGCTCCTCTGGCGATGCGTGGACGCAGAGCGCTGGTCGACGACCTCTCGTTGGAGAACTCTGACTCGGAGGAGCCCCCCGCCTCACCGACCCCTTCCTCTGGACCTCCAGGGACCCCGACTCCCTCCTCTGAACACAGCCTGGACCCTCCGCCGCCCTACAGCGTCAACAACACAGAGTGACGCACACATAGACTGAGTTACAAACATAACGCATACACACAGACAGACAGACATCGGCCTCTCACAGCCTCAACGACTCAGGGGTGAAGGCGTAACATGCACACAGCACATAACAACACTGTAGTTCCTAAAAGAAAATTTAAGATGAATACATCATGCGCTATAACTGTTAAACAACCTCGCTGAAAAACAGAAAAAGTGTAAAAATGAGATTTTACAAAGAGGCAACTGGAATTAATTTTTATTTTGTAACAAACTGACATAACAAAATGACATTACAAAGACTGGAAATTTCTACAATACATCTCTACAGTGCATTTCTGATAAACTAAACTACATTTCCCAGAGTTCTGAGGGGAAGTGAATTATTATCAACTAATTTCATGATGCTGTACAGTAATTAGAGGGCAGAAAACATTACGGTGGTCACGTATTTTACATTAGGAAGTATTTAAAAGCTAAAGCTAAGCCATGTTTACCCCTTTGATGAGAATATATATATATATATATATATATATATATATATATATTCATAAAGGGCTGCTGGGGAGTGAAAATAAATATTTCTGAGAGGTGTTGAGACAATCTGTTACATAAAGCAGTCAAATACACACATGGAACGTGATTTCTCACATTTTCATGAGTCAGTTTTAAAAAACATGAAATGAGAGAGACTTAATCTGGCAAACAGAAAGGTTAAAAAAACAAAACTGGGGGAAATTTGGTTGAATTAGCAAAAGAGAAATGGCAATTAGTAACCAATATTTAATTCAACTTTTTCTTGTAAATGTTTGATCAGAAACTACACTAACTAACTTCCATAATATATTATATCATTTTCATATAATTTGACAGAATTGTGGAGAGGCAAGCATTTGTCCATAAAAAGCAGCGTACATGAGTTAAGCTGTTTTGAATTTTAAAAAAATCATTTTTCTGTAGATTAGAAAAAGAGTCTGTTGTTAGACAAAGCGATAGGTAGTATTAGATCGTTTCTTTAACTAAAGTCTTAACATATTGCTTCAGAAATTTGAATTTGTATAATTTATATCCAATGTGAAGTCATTGATCGCTGGTTACTTACTGTGCGTCCATTAGTCCGATCTCTTCCGTCCCCGCTGGTGCTGATGTCGGCCTGAACTGGTCAGTGTTACATCGTCGGGTCTCAGAGGTGAATTTGCATGAAAGATCTTTCTGGTGGAAAACTGGTTTTACTGGTTCGTTGCTGGTGTAGAAAAAGATCTACCGCAGCAACATAACTAGAAAAAATAACCCGGAGAACTTTATTAATTGATCTTTTTATCCAAAGCAGAATACATTTTTGTTTGTTTTTGTTTTAGACAAGCATCTTGTACATTGTAATTTTGATTTTTACTGATTATCTGTGTAAATTATTGCTCAAACAAAGCTTTTGTGTTTAACCAAATGGTGGGCGTATGGATGAGAAAAAGGGACGTAAATAAGTAGTAAACGTTGAGTAGCTGTAGAATAGAAGACGGGAGTCGACGATGGTGAGGTTTTCTACTTTTCCTCAGTAGAATAAACTCCGTCTCTGCTGACACTTCCTGTGTAGAATAACTCAAAAGCATTTCTCAGATATGAGTAGTATTAGATACAAAATTACAATGGAGGCACGGAGGAATGAATTTTTAAGAAGCGAATGGCAAGTAGAACAAAAAGCAGTTGGCTTTTTTTTTACCCAAGCTATCAACTCAACGTGTGTGGCGTCGACCAAACACCTTGCTGTCAAATAGACAATGTTTGTGTGAAACCTGCTTTCAAATGTGTTTTTCTTTTGTTGATACGTCTCCATTTTGCTCAGCATGTTTTATTTATTGTTTAACAGTCTTTTTTTAAATATTTTGTTCATGGCCTTGAGCACCTTCATGAGCACCTGTTTGCCTCTCGCATCTTTAAGGCTGTCCAGGAAATCAACGTGATAACTAGACACAAATGACAATGTTTTAAAGAAGTAGTGAAACATTTTGGGGGATGTGCTTATCCGCTTTCTGGTGGAGAGATACCACTTACATGTCTGTAAGGTAAATATGAAGCTACAGTCAGCAGTTGGTTAGCTTAGCTTAGCTTAGCATAAAGACTGGAAACAAAATCCACCTACTAGCATCTCTAAAGCTCACTAATTAAAGCTTGTATGTTCAAAAACAAAGAGATTCATTTTTAAAGACGCAGTAAGCAGAGACTCCAGGAAGTCACTACACCAGACTAAGAAATAGTCTGGCAGATAACCGCCCGTATAACACAGCTCACCACTTTCAGATTTGACTTTTTCTACTAAGCAAGATAAAATGTGTCGACTATTGAGCTTTAGAGATGTTGGTAGTTGTGTTTAGTTGGCTTCAGGCACAGCCCGGCTAGCTGTTTACCCCTGTCTCCAGTCTTTGTGCTAAGCTAAGCTAAGCTAAAGGTCTTCTAGCTGTATAGCTTCATATTTACAGACATGAGGATGATTTAGATCTTCTCTTCTCAAAAAGGAAATAAGCTTATTTCTGAAATGTAGAACCATCTCTTTAAATAATAAAGAATGTCACTGAAGCTTCAACTTTCAATTGGAACTAAAGGAAGATAAAGATAAATCACAAATGTTGCTCTGAATGTTTTCTTTGTATTCTGGTTATATATATATATATTATAGATGGCAAAGGATTAATGATCCTGTTGGTGTTTACCTTTGATTGTGGTTGATTACGCACAGAACCAGTTATTTTCGGCAATCAGGGTTGTCATCACTGCTGCCTCCCCTTCCTTCTGTTTAAATTGAACAGGTGTGTATTTTAATGAAACAATGCAAATCTAACACCTGCAAAATGAGAACCGTAAGCGTGTACAGTGCTCAGGTCACCGTAACGTTATACATGTTGAGCTTTGTTTTTGCCATGCCAGGTTTACTGTGAATCACGGTTAGTGATGGGTGAAGAAAGACTACTGATGACATATATTTAATGTCTATTAAAGGGTTTGATTTTGTTTTTTTATGTATGTACAATTCTTTTATTTTAGCAATATGCAATTGATTTAGTTTGAAGCTGTGTGTTTCATTATTATTGTGTAAACGCTGCACTTTACACATTACCACTGGAGATAAAAAAGAGAGCCGGACATCGTCAGTACATCCTGGCTGCCCTGTCGGGTTGTAATGTATCTCAAAGAGGCCGACATTAAGCATTTAAGCCAAATGAGCTGACATCACGTGTCGTGGCGACGCGATCTGTCACTCAGAACTGTTAAATGTCGTATTCTCAGAATGTCGTATCAACGTCTAAACGTGGCGACTTTGTTCACACCTTGATAGAACAAAATCTGAAGACACGAGGGTTGAACTGCTGGAACGAGATCGCTTCTGTTCGCCTGTAGCAAGAGATGAGGCGGGTGCTTCTTTAAGGTGTTATTTTTCACGTTTTGTTTCTTTATGGCTACTGTGGAACTTGAGACATTTTGGAAAAAAATGTTGTTTATTGTTTTAGCCTCTTTTTGTTAATGATGCTGTAATTATAAAACATCTGACTGGGGTTAACTTTAATATATGTCGTTGGTTTTGATCTTTTGTGTTTCTGTGTGTTTCTTTGAGAGCACAAGCTGACCTCATTTACTGAAGTACTGTACTTCAGTGCAAACTGGAGGAACTTGTATTTGCATTTCATGCTACTTTATACATTTCACAGGGAAATATTGTACTTTGCATTGCACTACATTCTCAGATTTTACATCATCAGTTTCTAAGATAGGATGTATTTTTGATCAAACTACAAAACAGTATAAAATACCTCCACCTCAACCAACTACAGCTGTAAAATAATACTTACACATGCAACATTAATAGTCCATTAATAATCTGCAGTGTGTGGCCCGCTGTTATGGTATAACACTCATAAAGGCCATTTTATTCTGCACTAAAAGTACTTCTACTTGATACTTTCAGTACAATTTGCTAATAATACATATGTACTTGTATGACATTTTCAATGCTAGACTATTACTTGTAATTTAATATTTTTTATATTGCACTCCTTCTACTGTTACTTCAGTAAAGGATCTGAATACTTCCTCCATTACTTCTACACACAAGAAAAGAGAAGTTTTTAGTATTATGACAGCATTTATCTTTCACATATTGACATTCTGAATATTTGTCACGATTTTAAACATTAACATTTAACACTTAAGCAATAACACCATTGTAATCAATACACACATTGAGACACAGCTCAAGTAACAGTTGAAGGCTTTCACATAAAAGGTTTGGTGCAAAAATGGAGCAACCAAAGATGTTTGATATACTGTATTATAAAATAATATATTATCATTTACTGCCAGTCAATTGTGTTTGAACTAAAAAGAAAAGACATTTGTGAATGTGTTGAATTTGAGGTTCAATCTCACGCAAAGTAATTCTAATTAATTTTAAATACCATCCTTTCTGATCTTTTTGCAGCAAGGTAGCTTAAAAGAATAGAAACACAATAAGACAATTGAATACATTAAAAGTGCTGCTACCATGCATGCATCTTTAAAAATTAAAACTAAGAAATATATTAGTGAATAGAATATATGTGATTGTCATTTTACTGGACTTGATACAGACATACTTTGTAATAAAAAAATGTTTTTTTGTATAATATAAGAACAAAAGTATACCTCCCTTTATTAAGTAAAGGCTAAAGAATCTGAAAGCTTATTTTAATTTTTTTCACAGTATTTACAACAATAAAAAACTGTTTGAGATTTAACCAGAATGTTTTGACAGGCAGTACACATCCTGAAAAGTTGAGCTCACGTTGTCAGGTTTGTACTGAAATGTGTTCAAATGATGATCAAGACATTCAGGCATTTAAATTAAGGGCAAAATGCAAACAACACCTCTGGATAACTTGTGCTGCAAAAAGTATAAATGAGTCCCCAAGTAATGCTTTGAATAAAAAAATGCTCTCACTAGCAAACCTCTCACTAAAACGACATGCAGTCGAGTGACTTCCTGTCCTTTAAGATATCAGTGAACAGCCACTCATCCTCATTGGGCGGTGTTGGTATGGGACGGTGCTCAGGATTATGAAGCGGTACAGAGAATGATTGAGCTACGCCCTCAAATGGTGTAAAGTTTTGGTTATTTACCAGCATACAGGGACTCTCCACCTGAGGATGCTGGTACGTCTGCAGCTCCGAGGTGTAGTAGTGGTGGGTGATCGATGTGGGGAACTTGTTTTGAAGGATGTCTGTCTCTTGGTTTGGCTTAAAATGGTTAAACTGTGTCTCTGCAGCGTCTTCATTTTGTTTCGGCGCCTGCGAGTTCCTCTGATCACGCAGAAAGTGGTTTGTGGACAATCCTTGATCTCCATGGCATCTGTATTGATATCTGTACTCACCTGTCTCACAGTGTAGTTCCTCCAGCTCAGATCTGTTGCTGAAACTTTCTGACTGAGCTGCAAATCCCACATCATCGGCACCGACTTCCTGCCGAGCGTCACCTTGGCATGCACAGATACTTTCAAAATAGGCCTCTAGATCCGTGCAGCCTCCTAAATCCTTACTGCCAACGCTAAAAAGATCCATGATATCGGTCCACTGACTCTCTGAAATGCCAGCGATGCTCTTCTGGCCCTGCATGCAGGTCGAGATGTCTGTGAACATCTGGATCGAGAAGTCGCACAAGTCGAGAGACAACGGAGAGAGCTCTGGAGAGAAGGAAGGAGAGGTGCCCACATTTTGGTTGAACTGGATGAAACCTGAGTCCTGAGTTGTTTGAGAGTCTTCTGAGAGGTTGTTTGCTGACTTAAGATGACTTTCATCATCGTGACGCTCAGTATGAAGGAGCTCTGCCCTGTGGTGATAGTCTATACTTTTTGGGGAGCTCATAGATGACAACGATGATGATAGTTGATTTCTAGTCTCTTTTTTCTGTCTCTCTTTGCTCTGGTTGGTCTTTCTAGTAGTACAAGTGGTGCGCTGTGATTTGGGGTGTCGTTTCCAAAGATGTCCTGAGTCTGGCGGCTTCTTTTCACTGAGTTCAGTTTCATGTGAGGCAACAGAGACGTCACTCTTGGCCTTACAGATGCCACCTACATCTGTGTGAGCACTGCATTCATCTGGGTCTTGATAACCACTTTGGGGGCTACCTGACTGGTCAAGTGTCTCTGGCTGCTGTGATGTCGGGGAGGAGACATTTTTTTCCTCATCCTTGAAATAAAGAGCAGATGCCAGCCGATGGTTCGCTGCCTCGATGTCTGCAAACTTTCTGTTGAGAGAAACACACGAGGGGACACGGAAATATTGAACAACAGTTGTCTAGTTTCTGTGTAACCTCAAAAGAATAAATTCACATTTTGGGGAAACTGGCTTTCTTGCCGAGATTGAAATGGAAAGATTGATACCACTCTCATGTGTGTTAGCAGGTTAGCTTAGCACAAATGCTGTTGAACATAATGTTGAGTTTTTTCTGTTTTCCATTTTACTATCAGTTGATTTCAGTGCTTGTCTGATGCTTCCACACACCTCTGGATCATGTTGTGCAGGAAGCGACGGTGGTTGACCTGCCGTTTGGATGGTCGGTTCTTCCGGGGTTTCTGAAGAGTCCTCATCATGTGACCCGCTGCTGAAGTTACAAAGGTGTAGAGGTCTCGACCCCATGGCACTCCTCTCTCCAACCCGGGCTCAAGAGTCACAGAGATCGATGGTCGCATGGCTGAAAGAGAGAGACACGTTTAAAGAGAACGAGACATAAAAGGATTAAGACATGAAAGGATAAAAAAAAAAGACAATACTGTGATTATCAGATCAAGTGATTTGCACTTCGAGTGATTTAACATGAGAAAAATGCCATTAACATCACATTAATTACATTTAATACATATTAGAAATCTAAAGCAACAAAACAGCACATAGCTCTCTTGGAAATAAACTAGTTTCAACATGTTATGAGTTGATAGTCATCTTATTTACAAATTGTATACATTTGTACTTGTGTATCTCCATTTTTGGCTAAAACACATTTCAGAGTAAAACCTTTTTACGCTATTACAGTTGTTTCACAGCTGTAGTTAGTTACTCTGCAGATTAACACAAAACATATGCTGAGTTTATAAAAAACAATGCATTAATCTACTCAAAAGTACAGTATATGAGTTAAAAATGGATTCACCTCAACCAGCTGCGACATAACAGGCTGCTGACACATTAATGGGAATACTTACCCAAAAATATCTGACATAAATAATAATATAACACCTATATGAACCATTTTCTTTAGAAAAATATGAACTTTTACTTAAAATCTTGAATTGAGGACTTGTACATGTAATGAAGTATTTTTACACTGTGGTATTACTAATTTTGCTTCAGTAAAAGATCTGAATACTTGTCACCCACCGCCACTCATTACTGTTACACTAGAGGATTGAAACATTAAAAACATGCTGTAGCTGCTGTTTGTTGTGTTTTGCTTTGTTCCATTCAGTTCAGCTCAATAGAAAAATAAAATAAAATCCTGTTTACCTTATTCCTCGTCAGGTTGTGGCTGTGTGTCTTCAAATCGACGAACTGCACTGAGGACTCAGCTTGATGGTGGCGGGCTGCCTCAGAGGGAGAGAGAGGAGTGGTAATTTAATTGCTGATGTATGTCTTTGCATGTATTGTGTGTCTTGTGTGTGCAAATTAAGTCCAAGTGACACAAGCGCCCAATGTAAATACACCTTCTTCTTTTTCCAGCAGCATGAATAGAAACCCACTCGGCAAATTGATTGCGGTAGAGGAAGTGAGACACGATGGGAGGCTCTAAAAAGAAAGAGGCAATTATCTGAGAACCGCTCGTGGAGGTGTGGGCACACGTCCCCATTGTGTGCCCACACTAAAGGCAGCTTGTTAAATACTGGAAGACACAAACGCACCAGTTGAGACAGTTAACAAGCCCTTAATTGATCAGCTTAAACTCTGGCCCTAATTATCACATTCTCAGAGGGAAGAGCTAAGATGGTTGCTAGTGGCATTAATTGACCTTTCCAATTCAATAGCAAACCTTCCACATACAGAATTGTTCATATCTATGGCAGCAGGTGGGTGCAGAAAGAGGCTGACCTTTTCACAAAGAGGAATAATAATACAACTTTAGCTGCATTTTTTTTCAATTTCTTCTTCCACATTTCACTTTTTAAAGTGACCTCACCCTGATTTTCAGTTGAGTGTGGTTTTGTTTTTTTCTGACATCCCACTGAGAAATGTGTCCTTATGTTTCTTCTTAAATGGCTTTTTGTTACTGGTTAACAGACAACAACACGTGACATTTCCACCATAGAACTCAAACATACCTTCTAAATCAATGGATCAACTTTTCCATCAAACACATTTCCTCTTTTTTCTGGAGGATCAGCTTTACACCAATGTATTTCTTCTTCTTTTTTTTGTGTAAAGCTCTGTTCATTGCATTTGGAATGAGAAATGAATTGTCCATTGTTGTCAGTGCAACCATCCAAAAAAAGTTAAACTTTACTCCAATTGTATCCATTTCTTCTTTGAATAACCTCCTCAATGTTCCCTTAATATGCATCACAGCACAGTTAGTCGTAATAACATAATGTCTTTAGTTGCCTTTACATTGTCCCAGAATAGTTGTACTAGTATATTGTGTTACACACATCTTGTACTATTCTTCATCTTAATTTGTTCCAGGGCTTTTAACCGCTACTAAGACACTTTATCTCAAACACCTTTCTTTAATGCAACAATGCAACGTGTCTTCCTTCTTCACTCTAACAAAATGAAGGTGTTGTGCATCTTATGGTGCTTTACTCAAAGCATAGCAGCATTGCTGCAGGAGTGGCATCTATTTATAGTGACACCACATGTGCCTCTGACCAGAGAGCTGCACAGTAATCATTCTGCTGTGGTCTCAACTTTAGCACTTCACCAAGTGAGAAATATCAATGGTGAGCTGCATTTATTGTTCTACACAGACGTGACTCAAGTGGCTTTTAGCCTCATGATAAGGTAATGGACAATGCTACTGGAGATTCAGTCAGTTATATCAGTCTACGTGTCAGTAAAACAGCTTGACAGCACCTCTCTACTTACTGCTGCCATTTCTCACATGCTATTTTCTCAGATTCGTCTCCAGCGGGCTGATAAAGGTCTTATCACTCGTTCGCTACAACATTGGCAGAACTTTGACCTGGTGAGAAGACCTTCGTCTCAGCTCCTCCTCCTCCTCCTCATCCAACAGAACCAATCAGAAAAGAGCTTTGTGTCGCTTTGAGCTTTGGAAATAGGAGGGGTTGAGAAGAGCTACGCTGAAAGGTAGGTTTAACTTCTTCTTGGGTAAAAGCTGTAAATTAGAGTGGTTTTAAACATATGTCACTTACATCAGTCAGTGACACACATTATGTCATGCTATTTTTCGGCCATCATTGATAATTTCTCTCAACATTTTGCTTAATGTGAACATGTATTTTAAAGCATTCCTCAAATCAGTCATACCCAATGGCTTTATTGCATTTTTATTGAATTGTCTCTAATCAGATTTTGCACCATGAACCGGGCCTGGGCTGTGTTCAAGGCTCATCCGTACATCAGTAACGTCCTGGGATACACAACGCTGTTCGCCTCTGCTGACCTCATACAACAGCGTGTGCTGGGTGGGAAACATGCTGCAGGATCCGCATCAGAGGATCCAGCTGGCATCAACTGGTGTCAGACGGCTCGAGTGGCGACTGTCGGCTTCTGTTTCCATGCGAACTTCAACTACCACTGGCTCCGATGGCTGGAGAGGATGCTGCCCGGAGGCGGAGTCAAGGCAGTGACAGGGAAAGTAGTGGTGGATCAGCTGATCGCAGCTCCTCTCACTATCAGTGCCTTTTATATTGGTAAGTGTGTTACAAAGCTTATCTAAGCCATGAATAAAATACTACTACTATTTAAGCAAATACCATTGAAGAAATTGCAATTGTTTTCACTTGATTAATCCCATTTATTTTAAAACCAAAAACATCAGAATCACCTTTAAAAGATGCAGCTGTTGTAATAAGTGTGTTATTGTAAAATGTCCTCTTCGTGTCATTAAGCTCCCCTCTTTTTCTGAAGATATGGTGTCCTAAATTGTAGCTACAGCACCGATTTGTTCGTAAGTTTTGGGGAATTAGTTATGTCCTTCAAAGAAAATGCTCCATATGAACCCAGTAAAAAGTGATTGTTCTTTAATATTGTAAACGTTGCTCTCTGTATACCGAACGTTGAATTGGTGGCCGGTATTTCAAATTTTTGCCGGCTCATCTGACCTGCTGACTAAAACACTCTTAAGGTTACACAATCAATTGATTAATTTGTTTACCAGTTGAACACAGTTGTCTATGTATTCAGTTTTTCCAGGAAATTGTATAGAAATTATTCAGAAATGATGATGATGTGAAATAAAGTGTTGCAATTTACTAGCACATCTGACAATATATATTTTTTAAACTATGAATTTGATATATATTATTTAAAGTGGCTTTGAAGAATGCTTTCTGAGATGGATCAATGGAATCAGTGAAACATTTAACAGCCACCTCTACATTTTAGGTTTAAGTCTATTAGAAAACAAAGACGACCCGCTAGAAGACTGGAGACAGAAATTCTGGACATCTTACAAGGTGCAGTTGACCGTGAACTATTATTTATTCCTAATGCCATGTAAAACATCCCTCTGTTTATTTATCTATAAATCCATCTTCTGTCCCTCTCTTTAGACTGGAGTGGTGTTTTGGTCAACAATGCAGGTGAGATATTCTCATTCATCCCATCATTGGTTACTTTCAAGCTACAGATTCACAGACATGTACACACATACACACACACACACACACACACACACACACACACACACACACACACA